GCAGGTAGCAGGTAGCAGGTAGCAGGTAGCAGGTAGCAGGTAGCAGGTAGCGGGTAGCGGTAGCAGTAGCAGTAGCAGTAGCAGTAGCAGTAGCAGTAGCAGTAGCAGTAGCAGTAGCAGTCGTCGTGGTACATTAGTTGTCTTTGCAGTCGTAGTCGTAGTCGTCGTAGTTGTAGCGGTCGCAGTAGACGCAGTAGTCGTAGCAGTAATCGTGGTGGTTTTGGTAGCGGTCTTAGTCGTCGTCATCGTCGTCGTCGCCGCTGCCGCCGCCGCCGCAGCAGCAGCAGTAGTAGGAATAGCCGGAGCGACAGCAAAAGTGGATTGGCACTGGAGTGGCAGTGGCCCTTGCAGTGGTCAGCAAGCACCGAAGCTCAGAACTGCTGGGGAGCGCCGGAGGTCACGTTGCAGCTGCAGCCATCCAAATCTGCAGGACTCTGGTGTCAGTGCTGTCCCCCTACGTGCCCCTCTGTGCCACTGGCTCCGGCTTGAATTCCGGATTTACCTGCAATTCAGCCCCATATTCCCGATTCACCAAAATGTTGTATTCAGTGCTTGGAGATAGGTGATTCGCCGGCTCATGGTAGTAAGGTGAGAGATCTAGCGCATAGGGGCTCAGAACTAGGCATCAACCTGCGGAAGGAAGTTATGCCGTGGGCGACTGGGAAGGGCGGACCTTTTTCCTGGAGCTGTGTTCACCAGAGGCTCCGACTGCTCCTACTCCGCCAAGCATCAAGAGACGGACTAGTGATGCTATAGGGACATCTGAGTTATCCAGCCATGTAGCTCTCATACTCCGGGTTTCCCAAAACGATGATCCGAGGGAGGATTCGGGGATGGCAGCTATCAACCAAAGCCGAGCCCTTTGCTGCCGAAACGGGTAGCTCCATTTTTTCGGGTGCAACATTGCTCTTCGAATCTTATGTCCACATGCGATACCAGCATCAAATCAAATAGGCGTGAATTGCGACACAGGCTGGTGAAGAGGAGGCGCTGCCCAAAGGCGGATGCACCCTCTTCACAGAAAGCTTGAAGGGTTCAGTTAGTGTGAGACTTGGAGCAAGCAGGTTCATTTGTCGAGGCTTTCTGGCTTCCTATTCAGGGTTTTGAGTGTTTTTCGACTGACGTTTAGGGGTGCCGGATGGTTGTTGATCAAAAGGTGACTTGACTCTGCGAGCTGTGCACAAGCTTCACCTGTTGGCATCTCCACCAACTCCGGCGCAAGCACCACCGGAAGCAGGACCACCTTCACCTTTGCCTCAATTCCGATGATTACTTTTCTTGTTGCACCTGCAATCTCCAGGGCCATCCCAGCCTCCGCGTGTGACGCTGGCTCCTCCGCTGGTTCAAGAGGTCCGGGAAGGGTGAAATTTCTGGGCAGCGGCTTCCGTGTCCCACTTACCACGGCCGCAGCATCCCATTTGTTCGAAAGCTTGCGTGTTTGCAGACGTTTCGATCCGGGAGGGCATAGAACTTAGTTCTAAAGCCCTTGATGCTTCGAATCCCGCTTCGTGTCCGTGGTTACGACAGCAGCCGCTAGCATCTGTGTCGACTCTTACCCTGCAGCTAGGAGCTCCCTTTTCGCTCAACAGTTACTGATCAGTACGGTTCTCTAAAGCTGGCATTGGTGCCGGAAGCTCTGGCTGCCGAGCTCGGTACTCTCCTGTCTTTGCTTTTTCCCGCTGCCTGTGTTCACCTCGTCGTTTTGAGCGGAATATGGTGTCACGTGGAAAGCTTGGGGCTTGGCCTTACTGCGGCGTCTGACAAAATATCAGGACAATGCATTTTATGGTGCTCTATCCTGTGTTCGATTCTGTTCGTTTCCTGGATATTCGAACTCTAAATCTGCACAATCTGGGTACCGACACGGCGACTTCGCCACATTGCAATATTTGCTGCTTCGTGTGACAATGTATCATATCATTCCACTACGTGTCACACTGTTTCGGGTTCTGTTCTGTTCTACCAATCTGCGTCAATTGACCTCACTTCACGCTACATCGCATGAAGTTCGGGCCACATGACAGCACCTGTTTCTGGGTACAGCTGTTCTCGCGAATCAATTCGGTAGGCAGATGTAGGCAGCATGGTCTTTTTCTATCCTCCTGTTAAACGGAGCAGCATCCAACATCATGCTCCCGCTGCTCACGGCTTCGCACTCTCTTCTCCCGCCAGGATCAGCCCCACGAGGTGTTTCCCAAAGTGGGACTGCCGCTGGTGCTCTCTAGTGCAAAGGCCACGGGCTCAAGGAGTTGAGGGCTTTCTTTGGATTTATGGTTGGGGCCAAGCCAGTAAGACAGCGTTTCGGTTCCGTTGCGAGCTTCAGGGAGAGGGAGACAGAACGAAACGAACAGCATCAACGACAACATTCTATATATATATATATATAATTAATATATATATATATATGTATACTATGTGTATGCTTTGCATATATGTAGGCTTGTGTCTTGTCGTTATGCATGCAGAAGGCAGTGAAAATACGCGTGCACACACAATTCAATGTGTAAACATAAACACAAAGCGAACGATAGCAGTCGTGTGTATGTATTGGAGTATAGGTATGTATACACATGCATACGTCTAGTTCGTATGCTGTAGGCCGTTGGCAGTAGGAGATTCCCTGCTACCTACAAAGCTGTGTGGCCTTTGCTTCGCAAGTTCAGGATGTCTGTTTCGGTTGCATGGATTCTGGCTTTCTTATAAGGTCAACGTGAAAAGCCAGTGGACGGACGGTCGCGCAAACCGAGAGATCGACAACAGCAACATGCCCCAATCAGCCTGAAGTGCAGACACCCGCTGTTGTCCTTGGGTTACGGTAGGACGATCGGTTAATCAGGTTATCGGCCTTCGCCTCGCCGACTAATAAGATTCATCAATGAGCCGTGCGGCCTGAATCTCAGCCGCTGAGGTCGTGGTGAACAACCTTGGCGGACATGGCCCGAACACATCGCAGCCACGGGAGCCGGCTGTCTGGGGTGCCCAGTTTTCGTAGTATGCTGAGGGTACTGTGGAACGATGCAAAGTCCAGGTTATATCAACTTTGTCGCCTCAAATCACTGGTCAAGCGCAGCGAAGTTTGGATCCCACGGGTCGCCAGGAGTGATTTTGGACTGGTCATTTGCTCACAAGCGCAGTCTTTGTCCACTTTTTTAATTCAACTTGTTTGTGTTGCGCAGCCACATATGCCGTACGCTCGAACACCGCGTCCTCAAACGTACACCGTGAACTGCACAGTAGCAACCCCAATTCCCAGAGCTTAAGCTTCACAGCCACGCCGTGCAGGAGTTGCGGTTCAGGGGCGTCGGACAAACCGCACACCATGAGGTTGATGCTGCAACTCGGCCAAGACCCGTGAAGCAGCCACGTTTATTCGGAGAATTCTGTGCTGGTCCAAACCGTTCCACGAAATCCACTCCTAAGCCCTCGTGGCGCAACCTCTGAGGTGCTTCGCGTGCCATCTGGCGGTGTTTACTGGCCGAAGCGCCCTGCTCTGAATGGCTTCGTCGGGACCCACTTGGCCGCCTCGGTGAATGCAGCCCGGCACATGGAAGGGTGGTTCGAAGTCATTTGGTTTAGCATCGCATCCTTCCGGTCTGGCCCAGGGCCGAACATGCAAGTCGCTAGGAAGTTCCGGGCTCGAAAGTCGTGCCGATCTGTGGGCTTGCTTGCACGCATGTGCATGCGCATGCGGCCGACTCTACGCAAATGCACAACACAAATAGACCCGAAGTGTAGGTGCGTTCATGGAAAAAGCAGCATGCCCAAGCTCGGGCTCGAAACGTGGATATCATCTGTAGTCTTGAAACGTACTGCATACCCACACGTGCAGGGAGGAGGGGGGAGTGAGCAGATCCAAACCTAGACGGGCGGGGCGGAGATTTGGGGGCGAGGGGGCGGGACATGACAAGGAGTACATGACTGCATGGTGTGTTTGTATACAAAGGTTCGCACACACGATATCTAGCTGTCTTCAGACCATATTCGTGCAGATGGTGAGTCAGTTCGATAGCTGCAGATTCAACTTCGCAAGCCTAGGTGGCGCTTGGCCACGAGGCGGACATTGAGTTGTCACTTGTGCGCTCCGAGCACGATGGCCCGGCTTCGTGGATGAATAAGGTTTCGTTGTCTAATGTGAGTTGAAGGATCCCAAGACCCCAAACATCTCTTAACCCTGACCTTCTAAACCCTAAGCGCGAGCCCCAATCGCTGAAATCTGTTTGCTTCGGGGCACAAAAAGTGCCAGAAAGTATCAGGCATTCACATAGCTCTGCTTGCACTGGGGGCTTGAACGATAAAGCTGGTTCTTTATCAGGTGCCCGAGACCCTAGTCTTTTGTAAACCCTCCCAAGCTCAAGCTGTATCCGTGCGTTGGAAGAGCTTGGCATCCCCAGGATGTTCCTGTCACTTTCCGGCGGCTCTTCGTCACCCTCTTCGACTCTGAGGATGGGTGTCCAACAGGGTTTCGGGTTCTTGGGTTCTTGGATTGAGGGTTTTGGGTTCAGGGCTCTTGTTCCGTTGGTTTACGAGAGTAGATTCAGGACTCCTTGTGGAGCGTGTGAGTTCAAGGCTCAAGAGTCGCGATCCGACTCTGCCGCTCGGGCCACACCCCCACCCGCCAGAGCTGCAACGCCCCGGAGCCTGCAACAGCCGAAATCGCGAAACTTATCCCCTAGGCCCTAGGCCCTGAAACTTAAACCCCAATCCCTAAAGCCCACAAGCACCGCTGGCCAGGATCCCGTCCCCAGCATCGCATCCACAGGGGAGATTTTTATGGCAGGCTTCGAGGCCGGTTCTTGAGCTTCCCATGTAGGATCATGCGTGCATCTATGTATGTATGCATGCACACACGCACGCACGCATACATGCATCTGTGTTTGTGTGTATTTGTGTGTTTGTGTATGTAAGTATATGTACATCTGCACGTTCACAAGCGTATATGTATGCGCACATGGATGCAAGGACGGATGGACGGACGGATGGATGGACGGATTGACATGTGCCTGTCCGTCTGTATACGTGTATGTGTGTGTGTGTGTGCGCTTGCATGCACCTATGCATGATGTGCGTGTATGCACACTTATATCTATGTTTACCTTGACGGGTAGATATCGGTCTAGATGATAAGAAGGTGGTCAGTTTTGAACGACATGTCTGCAGCCTATGTTTGCGGTTCGGGCAGACACCCCCCAAATCAAAGCGCAACCGCTGCACTGTCCCACGCTGCCGGAAAAGGCGAGGCTTCAACGGTTTCCGATCAAGTCCTGGCTGGTTGGTACTGCACTCCAGTGCCAGTGCTTCACATGAGGGCATTGAAGGACTTAAAGATGTCGAACCGGAAAGGCCTTTATCTGCGCATGCTGTCAGTTTGAACATAATATGCACACACCGTAAAGAAAGATGCGTGTGGTACTATGGCAACTTGAGGAAGTTTGATTTCCTTCACCTTCTTCCTTGATGAGGCCGCCAGGTGGCCGAACGGCACAGAGGTGTCAAGGAAGGCGTTGGTATCCCATGGACAGGTGCCTGCCTGCAAGATAAGGGCAGCTGGGAGCTGGGGGTCCAGGGCTTCATAGAATGCAGAGCGTAAAGAGAGAAAGGTGGGGTCTTGGGGCTTGGAGCATGACCGGTGCGAGTAGTTGCGCGAATTGACACTGAGAGTTTTTTCACGTGCGAATCTTTATATATCCCCTACCCAATCTGGCTTCCTTCAACACAACCTCGACCCTACTCATCTACTTTGCGTCTTCAGTTGGCGTGATGCGGAGTGACACACTGAGGCCCACTAGCCACCCCCCTCCCCCCCCCCCCGTCCGGCGAAGTTGGTGCAGACAGTCCGGGTCGCAGGCTTGGTCCATTCCCAGCGGGGCCGCGCCGCTGCTGGAATTCCGAGACGTGCAGAAGGCAGGGACGGTGTAAGGTTGTGGCGCTTTTGCAGTCTTCGGCTTTTTGGGTGTTGGGCGTTGTGTAATTACAAGGGTCGAGGGGTTTTGGGGTTTTGCACTTGTCGGGTTTAGGGTTTTTGCCTTGGAGTTTTGGGGTTGCAGGGTAGGGATTTCATGTGTAAGGATTTAGAAGGGTTCACGGGTTTTGGGGCTTTGTTGAGATCCCGGGGCGGCAGCGGTATATTTGGACCATGGCTGGGGCGTGTCCAAAAGAGGTATGAACAGCGTTGCCCAGCCCGGAGTTACAGAGTTCGGTACTGCTACAGCTTTTCCAGCCTGTCCAACGCTGCATCCGGAGTTTAGATTTGTCCAGCCGCGATTATACGATCAGATAGGAGCGCAGGTAGTCAAAAACAAGCCAAAGCTCCACCGTAAACTAAACTGCATTTGTGCACTCCAAGGCCCTGGTGCCCAAGCCGATGCTTCATTTTGTCAGTTATTGAAGCTTGCGAAATCCGTATTTCTAGATCCTCCACCCGTGACCTTAAACCGTAAAATGTTTGCATGCTTCGAGGTGTCGATGCGACTGAAGGCGATACAGAGTGAAGGCTTGTCCCGAAATGCTTAGCTTCGCACCGCCCCAAAGCATTCGTGATCTGCTGCGGCTGACCATAACAGTAGTGTGTCTTCGTCGTTTTGGTCTTAGCAGTATCTTCGTTACCTCTTCGTCTGTGTTGTTCACTCTTTCTCTATCTGGTTTCTGCATTCTCCCACATCGTTTCGCCATTCACAGACTGCTGCGTTCACCGTGTGCTGTTCCATATGTTGCACTACCATAGATGTCCGCAGTTGTACTATAACACACGGCTCCAAAATCCAATTCTAATTGCTTGTCGACGTCTTCTGAGTTGAGTTGGGGTGTCCTGGATTCGGGAGAAGGTGATCAGGCTGTGGGTTTCGGTTTAAGGGTGTTGAGGCCGGAACCTTCACCCCTGAGCCGAAGCAGCAGTTTGATTTATGCAACAATCATAACAATCCTGAACTTCGAAGCCGGGGTCTAGTCGTCTGGGACTAGAGGCAGATTGCCCATCAGGTTGCTTCGGTTTTTCTTTTGCGTGCGGTCTGAGACGTCCGAGCGCACCGTGACTCTGACTGTTGCCCATCCATCGATCGCATCTGATCGCACAAACAAACACACAGTAACTTATACCCGCAGCGTCTGGCAAGCAAGCTTGTTAGAAGCTCTGTGCTGCATTGATCGACAGCCTAGCAACTGAGCAACCCTTGCACGTTCCTCTTGTACGAAAAGCGAGGAACATACTCATGTGCTGTACTGTACTGCGCTGTATCGTCGTATCCTGTCGAGTCGTGTCGTGTCTTGTCGCGCCGCGTCGTGTCGTGTCGTGATGCAGTAGTATGGTGGTATAGCTGTGTAGTATAGTGGTGTAGTGGTGCAGTCGTGTAGTAGCGTAGTGCAGTGCAGCACAGTGGAGCGCAGTGTATGTTCGGTTATGTTAAGAGTTAAGCTATGTTGTGCTATGTTATGCGAGGCTACGTTTTGTTATTTTGTGTCACGTTATGAGATGACTCCCGAGCTTCAGAGCCCGTAGACCCCAGACCTTATATAAATCTCCCATCCTCCCATCCTCCTTCATTCTGATGTCCGACATCGAACAGGGAACTCTTTGGGGGGCCTTTGGGCCGGCCGAAACTTCTTTATCGCCTTGCACTCACCGGACTTGAAGGCGACGGAGCTTCCTATGGGAAGTAAGGGGGTTTGGGATGCAGGCTTCGGTCCTCTTTGTTGAGGGTTCAACGTTTCGGTTTTTGCACTGGTTTTTGCGGGTAGGGATGGCGGTGTAGATTTTTTTCTCTTTGTGCATGTGGCTAAAGAACGGTTCCCCGCTGCATGGCAGCTTTTGAGCCTCGTTCGGGACACATTTGCAGCCGCAGTTCTGCAGGAGCCATCTCGGGGTTCCAAACCCATCTGCGTCTGAAGGCAGTGCACCACAAGAGGCGCAAGCACGTAGCAGTGCTGCCCGGCTTGCCGCGAGGACCGACCTCTGCATCCGGGTTCCGTTATCTCACAGTTTTCAGATCATTCGCGTCGAAGTCCTTCATGAGCCCAAACCAGATCCCAAATCCGGGCTGTCAAGGACGCTTTCGGCGGCATCCGCTGGCGAAGGCCAGCCGTGCGACTCGAGGATTATCCACTTTGGAATTCTGCGATCAGTTCTCAAAGAAAGCAGTAACGGCTGCATCTTACTGGCCTGACACTGCTCCAGAAGCTCGAGGTGGCCCCTTTCGCTGCACCGAAGCACTTCGGCGGCAGCGCCCTCCTTGCCGCTGAGAACGTCGGGGCCTTGCGTGCCGCTTTATGTTTTTTGAGGTCAGTCGGTTCCGGGCTTGAGCAGATGTCAACCCAAAAAGCACATAAGCATAAGAGCATAAGCATTTTATAGGGATATCCCTACCCTATTGGGCTTCATATATCCCTATCCTAATTTTTGCTTATGTGCTTTTTGGGGGCCCTAGAGCATCCAGGGTCCGTGTTGGAGACTCTCCGGCGACAGGCAGCGCAAATCTTGGATGAAGCTAAAACAGCAGAGCCTCTGGGCCACTTCCGCACCGCACCTGTCATTGCCTGCGCCTACGCCAGTGCTCACATGTCCTAGTCCCAAGCCTCCTGTGTACCACGCTGAGGTCGTTTGCAATAACCTCGGGGGCCACGGCCCTGGAGACTCAGATGAGCCCCCTGAGCTGCGCTTCAGCCGTGCCGGCTTCGTGGCGGACCAGCCCGTCGACGTGGCGTCTTGGCTCGGTGATGCAGGATGGAGTGGATTGAGGTTTCTTGGGCTCGAAGGAGGAGTCGTCAGGATTTTCGAAACTTCGGCCACTTCGGCCCTGCTGTCGAGCCTGCGTTTCGAGTTGTCTGGGCCTGGGCTCACTTCATGGCTACTCGTATAGGGTCCTAAATCTGAGACTTTGGAGCTACAAGGCCTTGACTATGCTCTCGTGCTGCCTTCCCCGATGATGGCCTTCGGTGCGTGCATCCACCGAGGTGATTCAAGCGGATGGGCCTTATCATCCCAAGAATCCCAAGCTCAACGGCCAGCTGGGGAATGACTTCGGGGCCGCAGTCAACGCCTGCTGGCTGCAGTTCCAAGAACGAGTCCTTTCATGCAAACTGCCGTTGCTTGTGTACCAGTTTTTTTCAGGTAGGCTTGTATAGTGCATCATGCCGCGACAGCACCTTGGATCTGATGGGAGAGTCCAGCACGCTTGTGAGGTGGCCTTGGGAACGTCGGTGGAGTTGCGAATCTCGTTGGTGCATCACGGGCATGTGGGGCGCCTAGCCCAAGAGCTGGTCGAGAACCGTCAATGTGCAGTGGGCACGTAGGGCGGAGCGTCATCTTCCATGTAAGATGCAGGTTTCATGGATGAGTATGTTGGTATACATATACTTGTATATAAACATAAATACACACAGTATGCAAATGAACGAAAAGCAATTGTATATGTGTGCATGTATATATATATATATATAGAGAGAGAGAGAGAGAGACAGACATTCACGTGAATCATAATGAGGGTCTCGACTCCCAACCGAGACGTCGACCATGAAGGGACCCTGGGCTCCCTCTAGATCTGGTCGAGCCCGCAGAGTCGACAGCATCTGAAGCCCCATTGCGAACCGAGTTTGGATTTGTTTTTTTTTGGTTTGGGTTGGAACGCCGAATCCGCCGAATCCTGGGCCTGTCGAATCGCTGACACCTAGAACCACAGCCCGAAATATGACCCCGTCAGGATGAGCAGGAGGCATCCGTCTTGGTGCCGCAGCTCTTCCTCAGCGTTTGCGACGCCGAGGCCACGTTAACCGGGACTGCCTTGAGCACCTGATCCATGAATCCTTCATCAGTACATCGTAAAACTCTAGTATCAAAAATTACTAGAGTAAACTATCCCCCCCCGAGAGGCCATCTTCCAATTATGAAGATCCCCACTTGCCGTGCACCAACCCTCCCGTGAGGAGCCGTCACCGCACTTGGCGGCATCCGGCCAGGTCTCTGCATCGCACATTCAGGCTCGGCTTTCACGAGGAAAAGCCCTGCATAGGAGGCTGAAGCTCGAGAAGTGGAAACACATCACCCCCATCCCGAGCTCGAAGAGCCGACTTCGTGGTTGGAGTCTGTCACTCTTCAAGCCTTCCTAGCCTTCCTGTTGCTGACGAGGGCGTCTTCTGGCCCAACGGCACCATTCTGCACGGGCCGGCAGTGAAGGCGGCCACGAGTTGTGACAAATTCTAGAGGGGTGCATGCGGTGTGTGCTTGGCATGGTGGCGGTTCCTCTTCCCCCGAAGATAATTGGAGCTTGCCGGAAGTGTTTTCCCCATCATGTCTCCTCTGCGAATGTGCCCCCTTATGTTGCATGTTCCTGTCCGACACCTGTGGTCAGACTGCCTACGGCGCGCCGGCGGGGCCAGCGCCCATCTTCGCGTTTCAGAACAGCTCCACCATCCAGGCAGATCCCCGAAACCAGAAAGCAGCCCAGGGACTTGAGCACCAGCCCTCAACTAGTGACCTAGTTGCCCTGATCTGGTTCCCAGCAAAGACAGCAGCTAGGATATGCTCCTTCCAGAAGAAAACAGGCATCGAACCAAGCAAGACGGCTCTGGCGGTAGAGTTTTGTGCGGTGGCTTTTCTCTTTCTGAGCGCCACAACTTGGAGACCAGTCCACTTTGCGGCCTCTTTCAGATGAAAATCGAGTCTTATCTCATATGATGCCTGCACACAAGATATACGGGCATACCTGGTGACGCAGCGACACAGCATGCTGCGCGCAAAGAAGATCCCATCTCTTGCTTGTCCAGCTTTCCAAGAGCAGGTTACTCTCCGAGCCGCATCCGAGCAAGGCCCGGAAGGATGTCGGCCCGCAACACAGCTCATTGTACTATGCTGAGTTTGCTTTTAATGTACTATCCAATTATTCAGACCCTTATAGCAACAAGAACCTGTGGGGAACTGGTCCCTACCTGGATCCTCACTGCTCTGACCATCGGGCTCGTCAGACGGCCTCAGAACATCTCAGAACTTCTACCGATTCTACTGCCAGGCAGCGTGGTCGGAGGCGCCTGGGCCGGACGCACCTTTCTGCTGGCGCTTCGCTCGCCCAGCATCACACAGGCTGGGCTGGAGGGCTTTACAGAGCTTGCCTTCTGCAAGTTCGGCAAGTTTTGGCTTGTGGAGAGGGCAGAACGAAATCTTTAGACGTGTTGTTTTTTGGAGGATTAGCGGTACCTTGTGCACGTTAGACTTCCGGCGCGGGCCCTTTCCCTCCCTGCTGCTCGACACGCCCGCAATGAAGCCCAACAGCACAAAGCCTCAGGCCTAGCTGCAAAGCCTTCATGCATAGAGCCCCGATGCCTCAACTCTCCACCCCACACATTTTCTGACCTCCACGGAAAGCCCTGGTGCTGCCCAACCTCCCAAAGCCCAGAAGCCCTACAGACTCAAAGTTCCAAAGCATTCAATAAAGCCCTTACATAGTACCCTTACAGCCGCCCTTTCTGGTATCTCTTGCAGTATCCCTCGTAGCCGTTCATCATAGCCCCTCTACTATACTTTCCCACGCAGTCCCTGAGCCTCTTGAGCCTTCATGCCCGAAGGAGCTTCCGGTCGACCAGAGCCCGGGCCTGGGAAATCGCATCTGCGTCGTTTGATTTTGGGTGCGTTTTTTTGGTGTTTACAGGGCTTTGTTCTTCTTGGGGGTTTCTTTCGGGGTTTGGGGCTTCGGCAGTTCGAAGAGTGTTAGGGTTTGGAAGCTTGTCTGGGTTTCGAGAGTTCTATGGATCTCGAGACTGGTCGGGAAGTTGAGCTGCTGCAGATAGGCGGCGTCGGGGCTTGGTAGTGCTCGATTTTTATGATCCATGCTTTTCCTAGGCACTCTCTCTGAGGTGCATGACAGGCCAAACTAGAATCCAATATAGACAACTTTCTGAAGCCGCCGGTATCATCACCAGCATAACCAGCATTCCAGGTTTGCTCTGACCTGGCCAAAGGTACCAGAGGTTCGCTTGATTCGTTTGTCTAACCGAGAGATGTCCTGAGTGGTATGGAAGCCTGTGTTAGTAGTGCCATTATTCCTTAGGGCTCCTTCGTACACTTACACATAATATAGTTTTTCCCCGAGTCTCATTAAGGCACCTGTATCATCCCCATGCGCCTTAGGCGGTGGCCGGCCTAGCAGAGCGGAGGAGGCCAAGGTGCTCCGCGGCAACCCTTCAAATCCTACAAGAACCTTCGCCTCAGAACTGGCTTCAGAAAGGACACTCCTCGATAGGCGTAGCAAAAACAAATGAACCCAGGGAGGAAACATCAGTGTTTGATAGATGTCACCCTGCTGGAGCACAATGCCTGCAGTGCAGACACGACTTGCAGTGCACCACAAAGTAATCTCCGACCCCGACATCGACCTGTGTCGATGTCCTCTTTCGAGCTCAGATTCGGACTGCTAATTCGAACTTATCGCGTCTTTCATCGGTAAAGCATGGGCCGCATTTCTTTAAACTCGAAGCTCCCAATCGTTGAAGCAAACGATGAAGAGAACTGTCATTGGACCTGTCTGCAGGTGAAAGCACAGCATGGGCAACAGCTTGGAGCGCAAGCCGTGCCAGGTGGGATTCTGGGTTCTGTGCGTGATAGAGATTGCCCTCAGCCATGGGTTTAAAGTTGACATCTGGCCTTGACCTAAACCCGTCCATCGGAGCAGGCGGTGCCCGGAGTCACGGAAGACTGCAAGGATGAAAGACATGACGGTTTGAACTGTGGCTAGGGCTTATCCTTCTGCTTCTCACTACGGTCACCCTACGGTTTATGGTTTTTGGTTTCGGGTTGAAGGGGGCATGAATATGATTGTCGCTGATTCTGGATTGCAACAATCACGATCCCTAGCAGGCCTCTCACAGCCGAAGCCTCTGCTTGCAGGAGCCCCCACCGCCTCCAAGGCCGGGTTTTCTGCTCTGTCGGCCCCTTCTCAAGGTGTGCTCTCTTCGAGCTTTGAAGGCTGCAACACCCTTAAACCTGAGACCTCCATGCCGAAATTGGATCACAAACACCTGCAAAACATGACTCCCGGAGGATATCAGAGTCTTCTTGCCTTCTGCACTCGGTACGCGACTGATGCTGAGCCCAGAGAACGTGCCAGGGCTGCAAGTAGTGAGGGACCGAGGCCTTGGCTGGCATGGTTTGCCTGCATGGAGCTAGAAATTTCTGATAGACGGTGGGATGTCTGACAGAGGTCCCAGCAGCATACAAGGCAGGTCGTATCTTACCCTCCCAGATGCCCTCGTGGGTCTTGAGCAGGCCTCGGGAATTTGCTTGAGCATCTCACCTCAGTATTTCATGCCTCAAGCAGAGTTTCTGAATCCGAGGTCGATGTGAACAATCTGGGGGGGAAGGGCCCCGGGCCTTTGGACGATGCACCGGTGAGCTGGCAAAGAAGGGGAGCAAGTGGGGTACGCCGAGATCTTCAGCCAAGTTCCAGTTTTCCAACATTTCAGGCTTTTTTAGGTGTCGTTCAGGTTTGGCATCAGGGCTCTGGCTCGAGGCATGGATCACTTCGCAGCTTCAGCTGCCCCCTCCGCCATCACAAGTTCTGTGTGAATCGAAGTAGAAGCGAAGCTGTTCAAGATGGCGTACTGCAGATCTACGCCGCAGTGAAGTAGCAGCTTCAGACAAAGTTTCAATGTGCCAGAGAGAGCAACTGTGCGCCCCTTTCGGCCGTGCTACTGTAAAGCCTCGGAAGATTTTGCTTGGCTTGGCTACGTCCGTCGGACTGAAGCACATACCATTGCAGCCGAAGGTCATCCGCTTCAGACATGTGGGCGTTCACCAAGGAGAAGACCTCGACTTGGCTAGAGCCCCGGGTGTCGAGAGATGTCCATGAGCCCCAAATCAAAAAGCACTGTAAAATCCCCCTTTCTCCAGTGAAGGCATACAGAGATGTACAAAGTGCAGGGCTAAGCAGGTCGAAGCCCTCTGGGGCCCAGATCGAGGTCTTGCGAGCTCTGGGGAGCTACGAGCCTGGCCTTGTGGGCCTCAATGCGATCATGGGGCACCACTTCGCCGCCTCGGTAAATGTTCTTTGGCCCAAGGTCGAGGGTTTGGGAGTTCGGGATCTGGGTTCAGGGCTTGGAGATTGGAGTCTGGAGCTTTTGGATTGGGAGTAGGATATGCTGTTTACACTTTCGGTATAGGCGGTGTTTGTTTTTTTTGAACCTGGTGCATCTTCGCAGTTTGGCATACAAGCCCCCGAACTTGGAGGGAGACCTCGGAGAATCCCACAGCAACCTGCAACAGATCGCGCAGGACAAATCCGACTGGAATCCTTGCACACAGCCTGACGTAGGAAATCTGGAAGCCCACGCAACCCCACACTGGGGGTTGATTGGGAGAGGGCATGTAAGTCAGGTGAAGCTCGAGACCTCTCTGAAGCTTCAGTTGCAGCTCCGTCCTTCGAAGGCGTCCGCAGCGTCTAGCAGTAGACCTTCACACGGTAACTCAAGCTGTAGTTTTTGCACCACTGCTGCTGCTGCTGCTGTTGCTGCTGCTGCTTCCGCTTATGCTTGTGCTGGTGGTGGTGCTGCTGATGATGATGCTGCTGATGATGTTGATGTAGATGTTGTTGTTGTTGTTGTTGATGATGATGGTGACTATGTTGGTGTTAGTTTCGTCGCTGCTTGCTGCTTGCTGCTGCTGCTGGCGCTGCCGACGATGGTGAACACCATGAGGGCTCAGATTTCCACGCTGATGTGGTAACGATGATGTTGGCGATGTTCATGATCGCATTGACGACAACAGCCGTGCGGGTGATTGCGACGATGATGTGGTGAGGTTCATGATGCGATCATGATAATGGTGGTGGTGATGATGATGAAGAAGATGACAATGAATAATATTATGCTGAATCATGTTGGCAGGATGGTGATGATAATCTGAAGGATACTGATGATGATTATTGTCGTGGCGGTGGTGATGATCGTGGTGATAGCCGCAGCGGTGGTTACTGTTGTGGTAGTGGTAATTATGATAATCCTGGTTCCTGATACTTAATCTGCACGGTGTGTCTCCGCCGCGCTGTCTTTGGTTTCTGCTGGACGATCTGCGTGCAGCGCTCTAAAGCCCCAAGCCGTTGCCAAAAGAAGCTTCGGCCAGGAGGGCTCCGAGCACAGCATTCCGTTGAAGCGGCTTTACCTCTCTGTATGCGACACAGAGGAGACAGCTGATGTCTGCTGGGGTTGTGCGCACCTGCAGTCCTGTCAGAGTGCACCTCACATGAATTGCCAAGCGGAATCCCGATGTTCGTGCCAAGCGGCATCCCGACATGGTGCCTGGAGCTCACAGGACCCCCAAGAGTTGCTGTCGGTGGATGGTGAAGTTGAGACCTCTGGCTTCCAGGCGCCCTCAATTCTGGCAGATCTGGAACATTGATTTATCTAGCTACCATGCCAGTCTTTGCGAACCACATGCTCTTCGACATTGGAAGCTCGATCGTGAAAGAAGCGTCTTCGGTTGCGTATCATTGCTGTCCCGGTCGACTGCACAAGCGCCCCAATTAACAAGCAACGAAAACCACGAGGACTGTTTTAGGTGGAAAGGCTGTTCGGTGCTTTGAGGGTACGGAGTGATCGAGCAAGTAACCTCGTCCAAGGGTCAACGTGCGCATCCCGACCGAAGATTCTCAAGCCTGAGCTTGCGACCTACAACCCAGGTAAAACACGAGGCTAAATGAAACCACAGGATATTGCATGATCCTACATGCATGACACTTTAATTATGAAGCTGTTTGGTGCCATGAAGTACAATGTCGTCCCATCTGCAGCAACCGGAGGCAGTCAAGTTGGGCACCGGACACTGGGCCCCTGCTGCAACTTTGGACCTGGAGCCGGAGACCGCCACTTGATGGCGCAAGTCTTCGCGGTGGAGGTATAGACCTATGGGCTATTAGTTACAAGTTTGGTGCAGTCTCGAATGTAGGGTTGCGGGTTTGAGGGCTTGGGGCTTTAGACGTTTCGTGGTTCAAGGTTTGATCCTTTCATTCCACAGAGCCCCGTGACAGAGAAGGGTTCGTGATCCAAGCGATGGATGAATTCATCATCCTCTAGGGCCCGGGCCCCCCTTCCTCTTTTTGAAGGGATGAGTCCATGTGAGTGAGTTCTTTGGTCGAAGGAATTGTTGGATATGCACTCGCGGCCGGAGCCTGCCGTGCACAAGGGGCGACGTTACCAACATGGCCTACTGCGGCGTTGGATTGGAGGGTGGGGTTTGGGAAACGAGCGTTTCGCACGCGCCTTTTAAGTTGGAAAGTCCCCATTCGCACTCGCTGGGTTTCCGCGGACCTCAGCATCGTGATTGGGCTTAGGGCGCTCGTCCGCGTGGCTTAGGGAGGAGGGCAATGGCGCTGGCCGAGAAGATGCAAGAGGGCTGGAGAACCACGGCGTGCCGCTGCAGTGGTCCACCACTCCCCAAACTTCACGCAGGGAGGATGCCTTCTCACATTGATCCGAAAGAGTAGATTGTCTTGCCACCCAGGAGAATGATACTGCAAGCCATACGAAAACGAACCAGGACGACAATAACAACATGATAGGCAATGACAGCAAGACGACGACCGACAACACACGGACATGAGCTAGGGATATCAACACCGCTGCCACCACCAATCATAGCAGCAGCATGGTGATGATGGTGTTGGTCGTGGTGGTGGTGGTGGTGGTGGTTGGTGGTGGTGGTGGTAGTGGTTGTGTTGGTGGCGGTGGTGGTTGCAGCAGATAGGACGAAACGGACGAGTAACCAAAAACAGTGAGAGTGACACGGTGGCTGAGCACAGAAGGACTGGCAGTATCAGAACAAGTGGGAGATGATGATGATGATGATGATGATGATGATGATCGTAGCAATAAGGGTAGTATCGTCAATCAGGGATCGCAAGGACTGGGGAATACGGACAAACCATGGAAGACAGTAGTTGCACGAACACGCAGATGATCGCATGGAGCAGTATCAGCATGCGAACATAACTTGCAAGGAAATGACAGCGACAGTTGACAGTCGTCATGGCAGTACTCGCAAGAACAAGAACGAGCAGTGATACTCGTCCTCGCAATGGCACCAAAGCAAGCCCAAAACCCAAAATCCTAGACCCTAAGCCCAGAACCCCGAACCTTGAGCCCCAAATCCCTCTGAATCCTGAGCCCTGAACCAAAATTCCGTGGAAAGGCGTGGGCGACCTCCCGGGGTGTTGCCCCCATTTTCGCCTTCTGGACTTCCGTGCGGATGTCGTGAGAGTGATTTTGGGGCCCAGGTGACTTGATAGGGCTGTCTGTCCGGTGCTCCTCTCCTCTTCGGCCTTGAGTCTGAGCCTGTTTCCTGTCTGCGATCTCCGTGTACGTGGTCTTTGTCGTCAAGTTGTTGTTTCGTCTGTAGTTCTATACTAGGTTTCAGGCATTGAGACAGGTTTCGAAGGAGAGGCGCCGGAGCGCCCGGAAGCCATCGAGCCTCGAAGCTCTGCTCGCAAGGGCCCAAAATCCAACATCCCTGAGCTCAAAATCTGAAGCCCGGAACCCCGAAGCTGCAACCTCTGCAGGAACACGGCCACCCTGATCTTGAAGTTGAAAGCATTGCGCACTGGAGGCTCTCCTCTCGGTACATGACGGGCTTACCGTAGGGTTCAGGGGAGTTGTTGTGTACGGCTTGAAAAGCTGAGCCTGAAAGACTAGAACACTAGACTTCCGGCTGTTACGAGTACCTCATTACGCAGACATCAGAAAGTTGGCATCTTCCAATCAGTATCTATACCCACCCTCATCTACGGATCTGACACAAAACCCTGACACACAAGCAGTGCGCGAGGATTTGCGCATGCCGTACGTGGTTTCAGCGGGTAATCGTTAGCATCTAGGCCTCCTCTTGCTCGAGAATCACCATCTTCACCGTGCGGCCTTACGACACAAGCTTCCTATGTGGTATGCGGGTTCGGAGTACGAGTTCTGCTAGGGTACGACGACGCCTCACAATCCGCAGCCCGGGTCGAACGGACTTTCAGGCGGAGCTCTTGGGGGCACCGTAGCCGGCCGGACCTTCTTCATCTCGCTGTGGTCCCCAGACTTGGAGGTCCTTTCGGGGATGCTGGGGTTCCGTGGAGCTAACAATTCTCTTTGCAGGTTTGGGAGTTCTGAATGCGTATGCGTCGCGCAAGCTTGCAGTCACTTGCAGGTCGCCTCCACCACCCCCTCGAGCAGTCCGGCAGGTCATCCGGAGTTGCTCAACAGTAGCATTTGCAAAGAGTTTGATTTCGGGGCCGTGATTGCTTACATCGAGGGCCTAATGGTTAAATATCCAAGCCATGACGCACTGGTTTGAATGAACTGTGGTGTTGAGGGCCGGGCAAGCTCCAAATCTTCAACCTTGGTCGATAGTTCCTCCGTGAACGAAGGCAGAATCGATCTGCTGAGGCAAAAGTTAAACAATCAAAATGGGGGTTTGGGGTACATCTGTAGTCTAGCTATGTCGTGACAACAAGGGGATACGGTTTGCAAATTTCTCAGGATCGGACAGATTGAAGCCAATGACTCCAGCCCCTGCTGCCAGTTCGCCCAGTCACATCCTGGCGCACGACGACGCCCAGTGCGCTGCAGGCCGCCCTTTAGAGGTCTTACTGGGCTTTCCGGGCTTCGGACTTAGGACCTAGGATTTAGGATGTTGGTGTATCCTAAACTCCTAGCCCCAAATGAAACGCCGCTCTGCCAGGACGGGTTCCCCGCTGATGGGGTGCTGCTGGGCACCCGGCTGCGGCTCAGCTGGCGGAATGCGAGGGCCTTAGTAATGTGAGCCTTTGCTAGCTGGAGCTGTGTAGAAGGCTTACGCCCCAACGGCCCTATCTTTCTATATCGAAGCCACCACTGATAGTGTTGCTGAATCTCTAATCTTATCGGAATGTCGTGGTTGTGTTGTCAATGAATGTTCTTCTTAATGCTGGTACTCATTGTTACTTGCGGGCGACGACAGCCTCCCCCGCCGAGAGACACGGCCACCGCCCGCCACTTGCAACACCCCACCCCCACCCCCACCCCGACCACCAACCCACCACCCACCACTACCGTGAGCACCTCCACCGTGACACCACCACCGTGACACCACCACCACCACCACCACCACCACCACCACCACCACCACCACCACCACCACCTCCTCCTCCTCCTCCTCCTCCACTACTCTCTCTTGCTGCTGACCGCTGCCTGCCTGCTGCTATGACAACAGCGGCAGCAATAGCACCACCACCAACAACAGCAGCAGCAGCAGCAGCAGCAACAAGCAGTACATCTACAACTGCAGCTAGAAATACAGCGACGACTACACTTACAACATCAACAAGAGCAGCACCAGCAACACCAGCCACACCAGCAACACCAGCAACACCAGCAGCAACAACAGCAACAACAGCAGCAACAGCAACAGCAGCAGCATCAACAACGGCAACAACAACAACAAAATCAACAACAGAGGGACATGTATAGAGAAGCATCTAACCGTCGGCTGAATGCTGTCTAAGTACGTGTGACAGATTACATGGTGTGCAAGGTGTGCATTTGCGTGTTCGTCCAGCATGTGTGTTTACACATGTAATATGAAAATACAAAAGCTCGACAACGCGTGTATCGAACTCCCAGATGGTCTCCAACAACCTCGGGCACAAGCAGAGCAAGCTGCGCTTCGGTCATGCCTGGACCTCACACTGCTCAGCGATGTTGCCGGTTCAGTACCCGACCATCCACGGCGGCCACAGTTAGATTGAATATTAAGGGTCACGGGTATTTACTTGTGGAAGTGATGCAGTGCCCCCTTATCACTTGTGCTGTCGAACTCCCAGAAACATCGACCTCGGAATCCGGACAGGTTTGTACCAGGCACGGAGAGTCGCTGGATTTGGCCATGGCCTCAGCGACGCGATGTGTTTTGGGTGAGAGTTTGAGCTTAGCAGACAGGCGGTGCGTTCAGATCGAAGACCCTACAGAGCATGCAGACCCAGAAAGCATCTGGGGATCATTCTAAACGTCGGGCACCAGTCTGCATACTTCGAGGGCTCCTGTTCGAGACAAGTGTTGGAAAAGGGCCCGTACCCAAGCTCCGAAATTCAACACTGGAAGGCTTCAAACACGCTCCTCTAGGTCGTGTGGGCCTCCCCGTCCGTCAACGCGGGGCTCGGTCGCGCCGGTGCCGCCTCGGTGAATGCCCGGGGGCCAAGTACGGGTTGTCCTGCTTCTCCGTGTTGTGCTGCTCTTCGACGACATGATGATGATCCGTGTCGTCATGGTAGTTATCTTCTTCGTGTCCAGCTTGGTATGCTTTGTGTCGTTGCTTTTGATGCTATTGCGCTGTTCCGACAGCTATTGCTCATCACGACGATTCATGCTGCTCCTTTCCCTCCTGCTCTCCCTCCTCCTCCTCCCCTCCTGTCAGCCCAAGCAAGGAGAGCGACGACAACCAAGATATCGACACGATGATGAATGACAATGATAAGAATGATGCCACCGCCACCATCACTACGGTTGATGATATAAGTCCTGCATTACCCATAATAAGGAATATACCATATGTCCCACAGTTTAGGGTCCTCAAGGCAATGCAGGCTTTAGATCATCAACAGAATCATTTCTTCTTCATCATCACATCAGAAGCCCAAGCCCCGAGCAGCCTGTAGCAAACCCTGACTCGCCAGCCCTAGACGCGGGATCCGAGATCTGCACAGCCTGTAAGCATCAGATCGCCGCCGGCCAGCCGGTGCAACTTCGCCTCTTCCTGGTTCGCTCCGAGGATTCCAAGGCTTGGTGGAATCTGGGCCAAGAAGGTTCTTTCATGATGTGAAGGTTCGGGACAAAGCTCATCACAATACTGGCAGGCGGGCAGACAGACAATCACAATGATGTGGGCACCGTGAGCTTGCAAACCTTGCAAGTCAGCATACGGTAGCTACAGCTAAGGAAACCATAGTGTGTATTGCAACCCCAATCATCAAGAAGCCCCTTCAGTCATCTTTGGCACCAGAGTCGTCACCACAGGGACCATGGCGATCATGCCAGTCGCCATGGGGTTTGGGGGGGTGGGGGCGGTGGTGGCATAGAAGTGCATTTGCAACAGTGAACACGTCCTGGAAGGAAGCGCCTGTCTCCTTGGACAAGCTCTTCCTTACGGTTTACGACGAGGAGGACACGCAGATCAGTGTGCCGCCATCAGTTGGGCAAGAGGGCTAGCATGCTCTCAAGCTTGCAGCCCGATTCCATCCCCAAATTGTTGCCAACGCCCCGACATCGCAGACCAAATTCCACGGCCTAGAGAGATCCTCCATGGCGGCCGTGCTCTTTGCGCGATATTGGCCTGGTGGAGTGCTGAGCAGCCTGAGAGAAAATCCGAAAACAATCGTCGAAACGACTGAAGCGCAGTTGAACCCTACAACTTTAAGCCCGAAAACCTAACATCTATACCAGAGCTGCTCCCGCCGACCTCTTTCCAGTGCAGTGCAGGCAGAGTTGACGTTTGTCGGTTGTTTCGCTGGAGCGCTCGGTCAGTTGCGAAGTTCCAAAATATCAATAAGAGATGTAACGTGTGTTAGCTGACCCTGGGATGGAACTTTAGAGAGACCCAGCCAAAGCTTATATTGCTAATCTTTGATCTCAACCCCTGCAACTCAAACGCTGAGCCCTTTTCCAGATTTCGACCCTGTTCTGCATTGGGGAAGGTTTTGGATTCTGCTATTTGGTTTCGCAGGATCCCATCCAAGCGCTGTCGGCGAGTGGGGAAGTCGCGGTCCGAGGTTTTGAGGTGGGGCGTGGGGTGACAATGGCAACATCGTTGTCACAGTCAAGTCGTCGTTACTGGATGCCGGTTGTCATCGTTGTAGGAAGAGGAGGAGGCGGAGGAGGCGGAGGAGGAGCAGCAGGAGGAGGAGGAGGACGAGAAGGAGGAGTAGTAGCAGTGCCAGCAGCAACAGCGGCAGCGTCGTCTTCAGTGATCGTGTCGGTGAGCAGTGTTGGTGATGCTGGTGCTGGTGGCGGTCGCAGTCGTCGTAACGATAAGAGCAGTTAAGACGCAGTAGCAACAGTCGCTGCCGCCACAGAAGTCTTTGGCAGAATCGCTGGCAAATTGTAACTTGCAGAAATTATGCACAAAAAGCCCATACTCTCTGTGCAACTTGTCGCGCTGTGCAGGCAGGCGTAGTATGCTGCTATGTGCCTTTTAAGTTTGAGATCTACAGATCAAAACGCGAAAGCCTGATACCTTTGAAGCAAGCTGGACCCCGAGGAAGAACGTCCCCCCAAGCCGGACTGTCGAATGGCGGTCGAGGGAAATACTTCGGTCTGCTGTTCTTCGATACCCCTATTTTACATAGAAGATCACCTATGGGCCTATATATTACCAAGCGGGAGAATATATGGATGTAGTTTTTTGGATAGCAATATCCATAAAGCCTCAGTTTGGTGATTCAGATGCAGAGAGTCGTTCTTGGAAAAACCTTGGGAGTTTCAAAGCTCGAGACGGCTTGGAACCCCAAGACACTCCTGTTGATAGCCCAGGAGATGCACTAAACCTGAGGCTTAAAGTCGAAACATCCTGACCCCTCCGATGCCCTAAACCTTAAACCCGCGTAAACCCTAAACCGCTGACCGGCCGAGAGGCTGCCAAGCTGCCGAGCTCTGGCTGGGCTACGGCAGATTCTCTACCCTTGGCAAAGGGAGGTGTGATTCAGCAGCAAGATGCGCAAAACCCTCGTCTCAGGCCCGACTACAGTGAGGGGTACCCCAAAGCCTTTTTCTTATCAATGCCCACCAGGTCCACTTTCCCCCCCCTTTCTGGAGGCATGCTTCCAGTCGCCTTCGACCCTGCCCAGAGCTTTGTCCTCTCTCAGCATACCCTGATCCCTGAACCACTTTGCTACACTCTCAACCCACTGCCCCAAGCCCCTAAACCCCCAGAGCCCTGAACCCTGAACCCCGGAACCCTAAAGCCCTGAATCCTAGGCCCTAAGCCGGCCCCTCACCCCTGAATCTCTCGAGGTTTGGGCTCTGCCAGCGGGGCCCTCGCCACTCCTGGCCTTCGCAGGTTCTTCCGAGGCCTTCGGGTCAGATTGGGAAGTTGTAAAACTCACCATTTATGAAGAGGGGTTCGCAGCCTTCTCCTCAAGTCCTGGCACGGCTGTTTGATGTAATCTTCTTGATGTTCGTTCACAGCCTTCCAGCCATCATAAGCTGAGGACTGAAAGAGTCTTTCTTTGATGGTCCAGTGGATGGTTGAGGGTCTGAAGTGATTTTCCAGGGCGGCCGTGGTGACTTGCCTGATGTATTTCCTTTGATCTTTATGCATTCTTATCTTGTTGTGTGTGGTTGGACTTGGCTCCTTGAATCCTTGCAATGTATGTTGTGTCAGAGTCCTTTGGATGATCGATGTCGGTTTGGTTGGTGTGATTTCTCCTATCTCTAGATTGTAAAGCTTGTTCGGAACATGGCCCCTTTAACATGGCGTAGCGTCATGCCCCAACCCCACTTAAGCTTCCAAACCCCTAGATCCAAAACCCTGACCCAGAACCCTGAAACGGCTAAGCTAGTAGCAGAGTAGATTGGCTTTTACCTTTTGAGGGGTGCTACAGCCATTAAACACTCATAAAAATTAGCATTGCCTTGTACAGGCTTCTCCTGTTCAGTAAGTAAGGTACCCTAAACCCTAAACCCTAAACCCTAAACCCTAAACCCTAAACCCTAAACCCTAAACCCTGAACCCTAAACCCTAAACCCTAAACCGTCACCATCCTCGAGTGCAAGCAGTCGTGGCAGGTCGACCTGGCCCTCCGCGCAGAGCAACTGGGAGGTGCGGCGACAAAAACTGCTGGGAGTTAGCCCTTTACGGCTTGGGATTCCGGTTTTTTCGGGGTCACGGTTCTTTAGGGCTTAGGGATGTTTAGGGTTTGGGCTCTAGGTTGTAGGTTTTGTGGTTTGTGGCCTTAGGTAGGGTTCAGAGTTGAGGGAGGTCTTCATCGATGGTGATGGCAGTGATGAGGACGACCACCATTGTCGCGTGGTGCTGCCTTTCCTTTCCTTCCTCAGCTATTGCTAGTGCCGTTCTGTTACGGGTGCCACTCGCTGCTACTGCTGCATGGCCAGCAAACAGCCTAAAACTGAAGGCATGACAAATTATGTCAGGTCAATCCTTGAGCCCGAAGCCTGAATCATGAATGTGGGGTCGTGATGGAGAGAAGCTCTCCACGCAGGAAATGCCCTGGGCACAGCTTGGCAGGCGCGGGTGGCAGAAGGAGAGCCTTTTGATGTTCCCAAGGGTGGAGTTAAGGGTTCAGGGTTCGACGGCGCTTAGCAGAACGACTTTACCGCTTTGTTTAGCACCATCTTCCAGACGGAAATGACTTTCAAACTGTTCAAGATGGGAAAGGGGCAATGCGTGGACGAATGATCCAGCCCTGGACTACAACATGTCGGGTTCTGACTTGCAGCAACCACGAAAGACCGCGGGTTTCCCTGCTTAATCCGGCAAGTCCGGCACATGTGGGTCGTGGCCAGTGTGCTGAGAGTCAGACGAAGCAGTGGGAGCGATGTCACCTGTGCACTGAAGTGAAGCATAAAGACGCATGGGGATCCCTCCTACATGCCACAGGATGTGTATTGTAAAAAACTGGAACGCCAATTCTGTACGGTTTGACCCTCAGACGGCAACAGATGCTACCTTGATGGCGGACTGAATTGCTTAAACATATCGCGCTTGCTTCTTCTCTGCGTCAAGAGCACCACAGCCACAGCTCACAAGACTTGTCTTGTGCATTAGACTGTGCACTACTGTGATGTAGTCCATTGTAGTGCATTTCTAACTGTCAGGGGCGCACCTTCTTCTTGCAGCTGTGGAGTCCCGACGCCTCAGTCGCCTCTGGCCTGCATCTTTCTTTTCGGGTTGAGGGGGCGGGGGCCGGGGGCGGTGTTGAGATCCTGATTTTGGGGACGTATCTGTTTTCATGTACCTTTCTATCTTTAGTATAGCGACATCCACAAAATGCGCAAGCAGCTACATCCAAGGCCCCGCCTGTGCTAGCAGCAGGTCCTCCAGAAGGGGGAGGCAGAAAGCACAGTGGTAGCCCAGCAGATGCTTGATGTGTTAGAAATGCTTGGGTTCTGAGTCAATAGTACATAAAGCTCAGGACAGCTTTCGATAGTAGCGAGCGCCGCTTTGTCCTGGCGGATCCTCGGTTATCTTGGCTTCCGGAGAGGCCTCGCCGTTCTGCAGCAGACAAACGAGGCGGCTTGCAACCGTTCGCAGGGCTCCATAATCATGGTGTCCTGGTATTTAACAATGGAATCCGCAATATGTCTCTCATAAAGATACCGGATGTATAGATCGAAGGAGTGTGGTCTTAGGCCCCTGAAAGCTTGGTCGTGCTGGTCTTCAGGCACGCAGCCCAGCTCTGCGCAAGGTAGCCGCAGGTGGAGGACCGGACTTGTGGATTCCAAGCTCGTGCGATCTTGAACCCACAACGCTGCGGTTGACCGCCGCAAAGCGTAACTAACATGTGCACTTACAGGAACGTTCCTTCTACTCGTACTGTCTGTCTCGGGCTCTTCGGGGAAGTCTTCATGCGTGGTCGTGGCGTAGTTTCCTGTTGTTTCACTTACCAGTAGATCCGATATTCAGGTGCTCCGAATTCGGATTCAGGCCTAGTCTTCCTCCACAGCCGGCGACGCTCACCTCCAACGCCAGTCGAGCACTTGCGTTAGGGCAGTGTTGCGGGTGTCCTCAAGCTACGGCCCACAGGAAGGGGTCAAGTCCGGCCAAGACTGGTGGGTGATGCCCAGCCATGCACCAGAGCCGGATCTACAAGTACAAAAACACTCATCATGACAGACGAACTGCCGTGCCTTCGGATCAACAGCCGCGTGGGCCAACTGGTCGGTAAAGGGCGCGAGTTTGGGCATGCTGCGGTGAGGACTCACGGCATGTGGTTGTGTTGGAGCTCTGGTTGAGCGGTGGGACCGAGTGCACGGTGTACGCTGAACTATCAAGAGATTGGCTTGAGTGCATGGGTCACCTCGCGCAGTGCATGCATTCTTCTTTCCGTGTTTCAGCAGTCACTTCTACAGGAGTCGGTAACCTAATCCATCCAGCATCTCTGCAAGGAGGCAACAGGCAGTAGGACGTTTGGCGTCGTCGTGAGCTCGGTTTTCGTATATCTCTTTGCCAGCTTGGTTCGTGAAGGCCTCCTCGTCGCTCCAGCGGCTGCAAGCATGGCGAAGGCACCCTGTCTATCCCTGTCTCGTCTCGGGTGAAATATTTCTCTGCTTCCTAGGACGAGTTAGTAGTCCTGCCATTTGGTGCTTGCGCAGTGCTTTGGAGTTGAATACTTGCTTCAGACTCTGCACGCTGTCCTCCGTTTTCGGGCCGGAGTTTCTTTTGGCACCACGCAGGCTCCTGCATCGGCACCACACCGGGCATCCCCGGTCCCTGCAGCAGCGCAGGCAGCCGGCGGAGGCACGAGTAAGCTGGTACGATGTAGCCAACGAGACTGCACCTTCAGATGCAGCATGCGCAACCCCGTCATGGACTTTGAAGTGCATGAACCCTTAAGGCTGCATCCCTCCAGCAACAAACTCTATAACCCACCCTATAAAATGCTTGTGGCTGCCTAAGCAGGATTCTTGGTCTTCAAGATCCAGTTCTAAAATTTTAGAAGATGCTGTAATGAAATGCGTGTGAAGCCTTGTTATATGACAGGCGTACACGTCCCTTTCGGACCCGGGAGCTCCTTACAGCCCTGTAGAAACCCCTGCGAAGCCTTCAAAAGTTTAAAACGGAGACCCCCTTTTTTGAGTGAATCCCCCAGGAGCCCTCGGTATGCACGGTTAAAAGGCAGTGAGTCCCTTACTTGAAAGACCCCGACGTGCAAGATCGTTGTAAAAGGCGTTATGAACACTTGTAGTAAGATCCCTCTTTACGAACCCTAAAGTCGTTCATTTAAAGAAGCCCCTGTATCTAAGTTGTGCGGAGAGGCCTCAGCGCTGCGCCCATGCAGGCTGCCAGCACGGAGAAGGTGGCCAGTTCCGAATCTTAGGGTTGTTGTTTGAGGGTTTCATGCTAGTGGGTCTTGAGGCTAACAGGGTTTGGAAGTTTAGTGGGAGGGTTTGACAGTTTGGTTGGGGTGGCATGGTTCAGGACCCCAGGTAGAGCAGAAGTGGTTGGTGCAAAATTTAGAGCTTGCATTCGCAGGTTTCCGCACACTGATCTAGCAGGCGTTTCGCTGACATCATCATGACACGAGGCCAGTGTTTTCTTTTTCCAAAAGACCTACTTCCAGATCCAAAGTGCAGAACTGTCGCACCATCCGTGTCGTGTGGCCAGTGGGACCCTTCCCTCAAGATCTCCAGGAGCATACCGCGGAGGATGCTCCCAGCTGGAAGCGAGGCGTGCCGCTGCAACTTCGGGAGGATAATGCCACTGGGCCGGAGATTCGAAGGATCCAGGGCCCAGGGATGGGGGCTGTAGAAGGGCTTGCGGCAGCATCGCATCAGAAGCAAGCAGTAGCAATGAGAGCAACAGGAATGGTTGGGTAAGGGTTGTAATCAAGGACTAGCAAGAGCCAGAAACAATAGGATCAATAGGAGTGACCAGCAGCATCCAGTCTAAGCCAGCTAGCAGTTAGAGCCACTGACGGTCATAACATGTAATAACAGTTGAGGAGGGACCTTGTCGAGTCTGAGTAGCATTTCGCAAGATGCCATGTGGGCCCGAAATGCTGTTCCTTGTTCAGCCGAGGTGGTCATCAATAACCTTGGGGGTAAAGGGCCATCGCGGCAAATGAAGGTGGAGGCCCGGGGTCTCGTCAATCTTCCAGGGCACCCTTGAAAGACATCTTGAAGATGGGTTATTCATCTTTCTACTGGTTGTGAAGAAATAGGACATCTCTCAGAAACGAGCTCGCCGAGCTTCGGTAGCAGCTGGACAGACTGTCGCAACCGCTTTGATCAAGGGGTGCGGGTTTTTTCGGCTGTGTTTGTTGCCTCGATGCTAGCAACCAAGATCGTCCTTGAGGGACCAATTGAAATTTTATAAAGCACCATACGATTTCGTGAATCCTGCATCTCAGTCCCAGTGTTGTGGGGTCCTTTTTTGGACACAGGCATGAAGCTTCATGCATAGTACAAGGGTCGGAACAATCAGTGTTTGCCCGGCCTATAGTCTTGATATTTTTTATGCCACAGTATACGCAACCCGATTCTAATTCTGAAGGCACCGATGGTAAAGGCTTAGATCTTGCCAGTTCCTGGATACCGCTCCTGCCTCTAGGCAAACCGCTTGCTAACTCGTACCCTAGGCCTAATATCCCCAGACGCTTCAACTTCCCAGGAGATCCGGTATGTGAATGTTTGCGCCTACAATGGTCGTTCCGTTGACCTGGTGCGCGGAGCCGGGAGCAGGGGATTGGGAGCTACGAGAAGCAGCCTGAATAGTTACTGTACTAAAGAAATCCCTGGTTTCTCTGCGCTCGATGCAATCGACAAGCGACTGTAACGAGGTTTGGGAACATTATTCCAGAGTTCTATCGAGCAGACGGCGGAGAAGTGAGACCAATTCCTACCGCTCCTGTATCAGACTCCGCCTTCGCACTCTACTCTTACTCTGCGTGCATAAACAACCCGAGAGCCCAAGAGTCGGAGAGGCCCAGGAACCCTCCTTTGAGACATATCGGGGTTTCAGAAAACGAGAGGTCTCTGTTACGGGTCCTCATATAAGAATCCTAGTATTTCGGATTCCGTATCAGCGTTCCTTCATTTTCCGAAGAAGCCCTCAAATCTGTAGCTTGTGCAGGTGATCCAAGCACCGGGGAATTACACGCCCGGCGACTCTTCCCTGAACGCCCTGGCGGGAGCAGCCTGGCAAATCGATCCGCCTGGGCGATTCGAAGTTCAAGGGTTTCGGGTGTAGGGAGGGTTTAGCGTAGCAAGGCTGATACAATACAGGGCACCCTTTTTTTCAAGGGCGGGGGTGGGGGCGATTTCCTCCATGTGTAGTTTTACTGTCACAGATCAATCGCTTTTGTTTCCATGCCTTGCCGACATGTCTCAGAAGACTGTGTCACATCTTCCTTGGATTCAGTCCCGATTTGGCTGGTCTCAGTTCGTGCCAGTGGGCGCGAGCCTCCCAAGTCTTTCCATCATCCGCTCCACTTCTACAGGAGCCCAACCTGCTAGATGCAAATAGCAGCATTAGAACTGTTCTTGTGCAAACACCTGCATGAGTGTTGTAGTATTGCATGCCCAACCCCTGTTCGAATTATGCTAAGGCCTCCGCTTGAGCAGCAGGTTAGTCACAAACTTCGCCTGAAGCTGTAGATCGCCACTCCGGCCACATCTTTCTCCGTGTCGCTTCTCTGCGGCCTGCGACAACCGCCCCCATTGCCCGCCTTTGTGCTGTGGCCAAGGATCGGCCTGCAGCTGCCGTGAACGATTCTTGGACGGCCTTTTTTTCTGGACCTGAAAATGTGTGACTTTCCGGTTCATCTTTGCTGTGATTTCCTGGGTCATATGTGCTGTTATGGCCACTGAGGTGGCCATCGGACACTCTGCAGAGGCGTGATTCGGGTTTCGTCCCATTTGGCGGTCTTTTTTCTTGGCGGTACAGCTTCAGTTCGGATCGAGAGATTCTGAGTTCAAGCTGCAGCTGCTCAGCACACGAAGCAGAAGTGAGTAAGGAACTCCCGGCTCCTAGCTGCTAGACTCGAAGTCTCTGAGGTGCCTCGAGGTTTTCAATTCATGCTTTTGTTGTTGGGGCCTCTCCTACAAAAGATCAGCATACCTTTCTCTGCTTCTTCGGGGCCTGCACTCCGTCACTCCGTTGTGAAGCTTGAACATGTCGGCTTATTGCAAGACCGACTATAGGGGTCTGAATAATCAGCAATAACGTCTACACGTGCCTCGCTGGGGCCGAAAGAAACCAGACTTTCCTTCCAGAATACACAAAAGCGGGGCCTTCGGCAGAAGCGGCTGGAGGGACTGGGGTTGGGGCGCTGTGGGCGGGTGCTTTCCTCATGTGGCCTCTGGTCCGAAATTCCTGACAGCCTTTCGTCAGGTGACACTGCAGCTCGTCTCGACCACTTGGGGCAGTGAGGTGCCTGGGGGCAGTTCTGATCACTGCCCCACTGACCACTGGCTCGCGGTGAGTGTACTGCAGCAATCCTTTCTTTAGCAGTGGTCAACCCTTGCCAAGTGGGGGTTTCCGAAAATAGGGGACCCCAATATAGTACCCTAAATAGTAGGGTCCTTATTACAAGGACCCCAAAATAAGGTACCCCTTGGTTTCGGAAAGTCCCAAGTCCTAGAGTGGAATTGAGTGTTTTGCAACAGACGCAGCCCTTCAATCTTTGCACGACTCTGACGCCCCATGCGTGCCCAGGGCATGCGGGAGAGGCCAGTTGTACTGCCCCACCTCTTTGTCACCGTCTTTGATGCAGAGGCTCGGTTCGGTATGCACGCTTCCCAAGGGCGTCTCTCGGTGTTGCGGAGAAACCGGGATCAGAGCATGTTTACGAATTGCCAGGTGGGCCTTGTCACCATTTGTCTGTTTTCCGTGCGGCCAAGCTTGGGACAGTCCATTGGCTGTTGGTTCCGGGTGCCTGAGACGGAAGACGGACAACCCCCTGCATCACAACACCACACTTACAACCCTACTTCATACGGGACACTCAATCAAGCCACTACTAGTCTATTCCAGTATACACCCGAGCTTGAGCGCAGACCCAGGGATCTCCCATTCAACTGCTTGCCTTCGTCGGTGCTTGAATGCCTTGAGATCTAGTCGTGCTTTTTCATCTTCGCTCAAGCCTGAGTTCTAATGAAACCGGGAACCCTGAAGAAGAACCCTTGGAAGCGGGCAGTGACGAGCCTCAGTCTGTGGTGTGAGCCTGCAGATCCTTGGATTGTCGGCGGCAGACTCTTCCCACGCTTCCTCAAATGTTTTACTCAGAATCGTACAAGTAACACTTGCAGTCTCCATAGAAGTAGAGTATTGTGCCAGCGCCAGTCGTCGCAGCGGGAGTGGATCCCTGGGATTCAACCAGCAAATGCCTGAGCTCGGAGTTTCAGCCGGTGTGCTTGTTCCCAGGGCTCAAGCCCGGCTCATCCGGAAGCAGCAGTCGACAAACTCGCTCTCACGTGGGGACGTGTAGGAGTCGCAGTACCCTCGCAAATATTACCCTCGTATCATCCGATTGGCGAATCATACCAAAGCATGCCCCAGAACCCTCTCGGCTTAGTGCTCTGAACCTCGGGGCCGCCAGGAACCTTCCCCAGAAATCTCGGCGCGCGGGGAGGTCGTGGTGCGGGGCTATCAGGCGCCAGAGAGACACCTGCGAGTCAAGGAGAAGAATAACACTGACTAATGGTCATGATCGGGCCGACAAGAATGGTAGCCATGAGTACACTGTTTCAGGTAAGACAGTAAGACAAGCAGCAAAGGCGCCAACATTTTGTGTCTTTTGCGGAGAATTCAGCATGCCCATACCGCCGTCAAGATGGAAGACAAGCGCCCGAACGATGAAACATCCCCTCATACACAGCAACAGGCACAAGGGCTGCACTTTTCGAGCGGTAGAAGAAAGTTTGCATATGTACAGGCTTGGCCCACCGATGGGTCGGCTATAGAAGTTCAGCGTAGCATGCAGGCTGCTGATCGGACATCCGAAGATACAATAGTGATGGGTTTCGAGAATGACGATCATAAGCAAGTTGTCAACGAGATGTGATTGCCATGTTGCTATGCGCACATCCATCCATCCATCCATCCATGCATGTATGCATACATGCATACATGCGTATGTGTGTACATAAATAAATAATCAGATAGATAAATAAATACATAAATCTTATATATCTATCTATCTATCTATCTATCTATCTAGCTAGCTAGCTAGCTAGCTAGCTAGCTATCTATCTATCTATCTATCTATCTATCTATCTATATATATATATATATGCATTTGTATATATACCCGCACGCATACACACAGACGTAGACACATGTATGCTCAACTCTCATCAGCCCAATGCCATGTTTGTAACAGCTCCAATGTTACTTGGATTAGCGGTGTAACTATTGCTTTTGCCGCAGTCTGCTGCCAGTTAGGTTCGCAGTTAGGGCAGCTTCACTAGTATGTATGTCAGCATCCTTTCGGGATTGAGGAAGTTAGAGGGTTTCAATATAGGGATACATAGGGTTACCGGGCTTAGGGCTTAGGGCTTCTGGCTCAGATTCTGCTCCACAATCCGAACCTATGTCATGTGGAAGAAACGAGTATGACTCACAGGCACTGCTTTGGCACAACCGAAGCAAATCCTGGGACCGCGGTGGTGGACAGGCAGAGTTTCGCTGCTTGCCCAGGGCATGTTTTGGGAAGTTGGCCAAGAGATGCAGCGCGCACTCAGAGTCTTAACACAGAAGATGCCCTCACCATCCGGGAACAGGTGCTTCCGCGCGGACGAGCGCCGGTGGTGGCCTACTCGCATGCATCGGAGGCACGATGCTCAAGCAAGGGTCACGCCGGAATTTGAAGATTGAGTGTTGGGCTTTTGCGGGCCTTTGCGGAGTGTGTTGTGAAGCCACTCTTTCTGGGATCTTCTGATCTTGCGGTGGTCAGAGAAATTGGAAATAATGCGTGGAACGTTGGCATCTGACGCTCTCCTACTTCCAGCAACATGCCTCCCTCGTCAAGTCTCATCTCTGAAATCTTATGGGCTCGTTTCTTGAGTCTCAGATGGCAAGGTCGAGACCCCCAGCAACCTGTGAAAGACCTGAAGCCTCAAGTCAATCTCTTTGAGGAACCGAGGCATCCTTGTTACGACTGTTACGTCTCGCATGGAGACATCCGGAGAACCCAGACGAGCGGCAATGGCAGACCTCGCATGTTGCCAGGTGACCTTGAAGCTCACGGCTGTGGCAAGCCAAGGCTGGTAGAGGGAAAGATGAGGTTGAAGAGCACAGCAACTGCTAGCCAAAGTATTTACGCTCAAGGAACTTTAAAAAAGCAATGCACCTCGTAAGCAGAAACTGAAGTTGGAGCGAACGAAATTGCAGGGCCTCAACTTTCACGAGCCTTTGACGAGCCTGGAACTCTGGAACAGTAGGGCGACGAAGGATACTGACCCTCTGTCAGTCTATGCTGCGATCCATGCTCAGCAAAGCATGCGCAAGATGCTTTCTACCTCGGCCTCTGCACTCAAACACCCCCCCCTACCCGGCCCGTTGTCCATCTCTTGGATTTGGGAAATCTCGTGGTCTCCTGGCAGGAAGCGTCATGGGGGCCGCTTGGACCGGCCGGACGCTCCTTGGTTGCTAGCGATTCCGACCCCCTATCCACTCTTTTGGGTTGTGTTGTGTTGGGCGGAATCCTTCAGGGTGTGTGTGTGTGTGGAAATAAACAAAATGTATAGATATAGACGATATGGATATAGATATGATGAAGATATATATATATATATAGATATGTACAGATAATAGGTCTAGATACAGATGTAGATATAGACATAGATATAGATANNACGAGTAGTCTTTAATAATATAGTAGCAGTGGCAATAGTAGCCGTGGTAGTAACTGCAGTAACAGTAATAGTCATAGTGTTTGTACTAACCATAGCACTAGTGTCAGAATCAGTTATGATAGTAGTAGTAGTAGTAGTCGT